GAGAATAGCCCTTGTTTAAGCCCTCCATCCCGGCGGTGGTAAGAGAACCGTCAGGATTGAGGGTTTCTCTGTTGAGCTGCTCCATCTATTGGTGGGGAGCGGCACCTGCTGGAAACCGGGTCCAGCGTTCCATTGATACATCTCGTAACACAGAGATTGCTGTTTGTTGTTTTCCTGGGGCTGTGGGCTTTTCTCTTCTCAGACCCGGGTCTCCGTTGTCCCATGGATCTGATAGCGACACCCATCCCCTCTTAGAGCACCCCTTATCTATTAGCCCAGCCCTGTTCAGCAGCCCCCTTGTTGTATGTCTGACCCATTTGAACCCCTTAAACCCTATACCCTCTCCAACCAAATGCACATGACCTTCATGATCCTTGAAGCCTGAAGTGCAAGCTGCAGGGCTCACCTTCTAAGAATGAGATTTGGCAGTTAGATCTGCTGTTGTCGCCTAAGTTACTTGCCTGCTTGACAGCGTAAGGTGAGCGACAGTGAACTCAGGTCTCATGAGTCGCACTCTATAGCTAGAAACAGATGGCAGCCTAGTGTGTGCGTAGCAAGTGTGACTGGGGTCATTTAATGCAGGACCTCGTGGTGTCTGCACCGCCTGTGAAGAGGTACTCCTATTTTTCATTATTTTTAAGTTACGAAGCTCTCAACTTGATCGTATCTGCCCTGTTATGTGGTCACAGATGCGTCAGGAGCAAGAAGCCAGAGCTTATGAGATGCATAATAATAGCCCTTGAGTCGCTTTGTCCTCGAGTGAAAGCATCGCCGGGGGTTGGAGGGGCGGCAGGAATTCGGATGGGGGCGGCCGTGGTGTTGGGAAGGGAGGCTGTGACGGGAGAGGTGGGGGTATGGAGGCTGTGGAGGGGGACGGGGTGGTTGGGAGGGGCTGTTGGGAGAGCGTGAAGGGGTCAGCGAGGGAGGGATGGTGGGAGGTCAGGTGGGGTGAGTTGTGGGGGTTGCGTTGGGAGGGGTGGGGGTGGGGTATTGGGGGGTGGAGGCGGGGTGACAGGAGGGGGCTGTTCAGGTGGTGGAGGAGGCTGAGGGGTCTCCGGGGGGGGGGACGGCGATTGAGGAGGAGAGGAGGCTGATGGTTGTGGGTCTCCCATGGCGTTGTGTATAGGACTGTGTTTATTATGGTGCGAGGAATGAGCCCTCGCAGGACCCTTGTCAAGCATGCACATGTTCTGGGCAGAGGCCCCCAGCAAGCCAAGTGCCCGCCCTAAGTGAAGGCGGGCCTGAATATGCACTAAAGGCCAAAATTTGACATTTTCATATGCGGGTACTCAGGCTGTTGCAGCCCGCCAGTCGGTTGAGTGGACACGTGCGCCTCCCTAAGCTGCATCGTACAGTTTGGCCCAGGCCTTTGCAGTTGCGCCTGGGCACTTGCACACAATGCAGGGCCAATACATCACGAAGTGGCTACAGGCATATGCAAAAGCAGCACTATCTATGTACCTACCCCGGGTCCTGTGCAAATGCAGCAAACGGCCCGAGTCTGGAAACCCAGGCCGTGCCCAACTGTAAAGGGCCCAGGCCCTCAACTGTAGCACTGGGCCTGGGCGCAGGCACTGGGGCCCAACCGGAAGCTACCGGGAGCTTCCAGCCAGGCCACACGCAGCCAAACAGAGGCTGCCACTTCCACATAGGAAGGAAGGCAGTCAGGGCCTGGCATTCTGGCCCATGCAGGCAATGCGGTCACGCTGCTGCGTTGCTGCGTTGAGGCCAGGGCGCGTGCTGGCACTTGTGAGGAGAAGAGGGGTGCTGCTGGGCAGCGGAGCGCTAGCAGCCATAGCTGGGCTGCAGGGCGATAGGGGGTGAGAGGGTGATCGGTGGTCTTCAGGAAGGAGGCGAGTGTGGGTGGACAGGGTCTCATGAGGGGAGACGAGATACGTACCTGGTACATGAGAGAGGTTGGCTATGGTGTTGACGTCATGTACATTGGTCTTCAAGAGTCGAAGTGAGCCTGTTACGAGAATGCTGATGTAGGTAGGATAGTCGAGTAGTGTAGGCTGGGCGCTGGGTGCCAGACAGAGCGGAGCGACTCTGGATACTGTGTTGGTGTGGCCTGAGGGCTTGAACATTGGCTCGTGACTTCATTGTACTGCTCTTATTTCGATGGAATCTCGGTGCATTTGTGCTCTCTGCTTGTACACGACTACTTGGACATCTTGGCTTTTTTGTATATCGTCCCCGCTCATATTCCTTGCAATGGGGGTCAGATGATTTGGTGGGAGAGGTAGAGTAAACGTGCGCGCCGGCCGCCGTGACCAGTGGTGCTCAGCTTTTTGCCATTGTTTCCATCTGAATTTGGAACTGCCGTCCAAAGCCCCCATCTTTACATTAGGATCCAGCCAGGTGCTTTTAAAGTTTAAACGCTTCAATTTCCTATTTTTGTTGCTGCTGTTTGTCAGACAGCAGTTGCAGCTTTCCCTGCAGGCTTGACCAGGCTCTGTGTATGTTTGATCTCACAATGTCAACAATGATGTTGTGTTTTTTTTTGGCTTGCAGGTAGCCAAAGGTGTGTTGGTGATGTTCATGGGCGCACCTGACCCTCGAGATGGACCAGATGGTCATGAGGACTTCCAACCATGTATAGCAGCTCCCCACCAATAGATGGAGCCTTCGACGCAGGGGCCTACTTACCGGGGATGCTCTTATCACCTCGTTAAGTAGGTTTTCCCACAT